TATCCTAGTACCAAAGGATAATACTTAAATGAATATATTTTCCCTATGACTGTTATTTTGTGACACATTCACATAAACTATGAGGTAGACTATATATTTACAATAATAGTCATACATGGGAAAACATTCTTTTGCATAGAAATGCAAACTTCAAAACAGTTGGGTCTTGGTAGAAGACTACTTTTATACTAGTAGGAAATATGGGACTTTCTAAGGTTTTCACACTTATATCAAATGTTTCATCAACAATTGCATGTTTTTCATAACAGCTTTCCAAATCAATGAGACTAAAATACTTATGAATTCACTAGCTTTATGCTGATCTACTCGCTTTGAAAATAACTTGTATTCTCAGGTCACTAGTAGACATGTACGATGACCAGGTTTTGAGAAGACGGAGCACAGTCAAGACTCGTATTTTATTTTGATTATATATTTTGGTCAAGGTTCTAAAAAGCTCGCCATGGCTCCGCCATGGCGCGCCACGACTCCAAGGCTTGCACCTGCCGCCAAGCTTTGCCAAAACGCCGCCTTAACTCATATATATGTATAAAAAAGAATAATAGTTGAAAATACATATAAAAATATTAATTATATAGAAAATTTCCGCCTTAAGTCACGCCTTACAAACGTCGTGACTCGCCAAGGCTCAGAAAAGCTTGAGGCTTGACATTGCCGCCAAGTCACGCCTTACGTTATTTAGAACCTTGATTTTGGTGTCTTATTACTATGAAAGAACACATGTGTATTAATACTTTACTTTTAATGCAATGGATGATGTTGTTGCTTGTTTACTACTTTACACTATTATGATACGGTACATGACATCCTCCACCCCTGAACGTTTCCGTCGTTCTTGGTTTTGGGGTGTGACATTAGATCCACTGGTACTCCACCCTTTAGGTAAGGTTGTAACAAAGAAGGAATGCAGTAGATCACAAGTTAATTGTATGCTCTCCTTGGGGGTATTTATTGTGGTAGTTTATTTAACATTGACATGAGGATTTCAAGTGGATCAAATAAGACCGCCTGAGAACACTTGGTCTGACTTATTGGCATGATTCTAGTATGATTTATTGCTTTCGGGTTGGAACAAACGTTCAACTATCTACCTTATTTTCTAGTCACGTGTAATCATGTTGTCATCTAGTGACGTGTTGTTAGCAATCTAGATTGCAGTAAGTTTTACATGTTATTGAGTTGTATCACTCGTGTTGTGGTTGACAAGTTCTATGATAGATGTTGACTGGGTTTCTACAAGTTGGTGGGATGATAGTTGTGTGCATATTGGCCTATTGAGGTGCTGATCGTGAGCCACGTTTTTAAAACTAGACCAGACCTGGTGGTTTAACTAGGAACCGATCCTGGATTTGGTTCTTAAAGGCCAAAAAACCGGTCTTCATGTGAACTAGTAAAAACTGGTCAAATCAGTAGAAATCGATCTACTTGAACCGGTAAAACAGGGAATTTTAAAGAATAATTTTTTGTTCATTTTTTATATTTTTTATATAATTAAAATTATTCATAATGTAACTATGACATCATCCAGTTTTTGAGACCGGTCCGACCGTTTGGACCCATTGAAGCATCGAACCAGTAAGACGGTCGATTCGGTCTCCTTTCTGGTTTTCTAAATGTTGGTCGTGATCTTCATGTCTGTTGTTGGATGATGGAAAGAATTGTGTAGAACCGTGAGCTCATCATTCCAATGCTTGGATGGTGTCACGACATATCGTGAACCAGTATTGATACGACTTAAGTGGATGGCATCTTTGTGTCTTAGTTTGTTAGTGTTTTGGCATAGTTTGGAGCTAGATCACTATGGTATTTCTGCTGGTAGCTTAGTGGCCGATAGTTTGGGGTCGGACATCTGTAGGATTTTGACTTGTTTGAAAAGCCTCGGTTGTTCATCAACAGTTCCTTGTTGAGCTTCTTCTTAGCAGATCCCTGTTCTTTTTTGTGAGAATGGTTTCGTGCGAGTTAAGTCACCAGTGATGGGGTCCATTATAGGTTTATTGAATGATTTTTTAGGCGATTGTACACCTGAGCTGATATGGGATTTCTTTTGGATTGAGGTTTGTTACGCTCATGGGAGTGGTGGTTTAGTAATGACTTGTCAGGAAGTCAAGTGTGTATTTAAGATCTTTTAGGAATAATTTTCGGATTTGTGATTGGTTTGAATTCATGATCGGGATGTTTTGAGTGCTCATTTTGCATGGTTTTGTGACGTTCCTAGTCAGGAACTAAGGGTAGGTATGATAAATTGATCATCATCAATCTTTAGGTATGCTTTATGGTCACTAGAGTTTAGACTGACAGGTTCCCGATCTTATACAATATATAGATATGTTGGTGATAATTGTAGGTTTGAATGGTTCTACAATGAGTTGGGTCTTATAGTTGGGGAGAGAAAGGTGGTTGTGCATTTGAATGTTTGCAAGTGTTTGAGTTATTTGTTGGCATTGGCTAGGTTCTGAGTGGTCTCGTGAATTTTTCTTTATGGATACTTTTGTTTTATAAAGTGGTTGGAGGAAGTGTATGGATTGTGTTGGTGTTGTTTTTAGAGATTCTAACCGAGACGGATTTCGAGGATGAAATCCAGTTTAAGTGGGAGATATGTGGTATGCAGTTTTAGGATGTTTCTAATTTCAAGATAGCGGATTGTAAATTGATTGAATAAAGGTCTTAGACTTCAATGGAATAAAGTTTAAGACATTATTAGATGTTGATAATGTTGGTTAAGTGAGTTAAGCCCCTGAAAGGGTGAATTTGGAGTCGAGGGTAAAATGGGAAAAAGTAATATTTCAGAGTCTTTGCATGAATTAAGAAATTTAGTTCGGTATGTTAATTTTAAGTCAAAAGCAATTGGATAGGATTGTAGGGATTATTAATACCTTTGCATGCATATAAAGATCCTTGAAAACAGATTTGGAACGAAAAAGTTATGGTTGTTTAAAGTTTGAATGGAATAGGTAAAACCCCATAAGCACCGTGTGGTGAGAAGTTCACCACGACATAGTGAGTTGTGCAACCCAAGCCCATAAAATTAGGGTTTGCTTCGTATTTAATGGCAATGTTTCGTGTTTTAGGTCACTTTCAACCTCCAACTCGTCAGGAACTCCTTGGGAGCAAACCCTAACCTCTATTTTCATAGTTTGAGCTCATTCTCTCTCCTTGAACCTCTGTTGGTGCATATTTTGGGTGTTTTGGTAAAGAAAGAAAGAAAAGTTGTGCTTGGAAGCTTGAAGCTTGTGGATCTCTACTATATCTACTCTTTTGGACCCTTGTAAGTTATAAAGATCATTTCTTTATTGTGTTTCATCTTTAGATCTAAGAGTATTTTGGGTTTTAGTGCTTTATATGCTTGCTTTGGCCCTTTTGATGGATGTGAGTTGCATTTTTGACAAATTTAGGGTTAAAGGTCAAACCTTTAAGTCTTATAGAGCCATTATGGTGCTAAGATCTGGACTTCATCTTCATTTAAGTGCTATGCATGGTCTTGGTGATATTTTTGGTCCCTTTGAGAGTTAGGTTTAGAGTTTGGATGAGTTTGAACCATGGGTATGGATAAAGTTAGAAATCTTATCCATTAAGACCCTTAAAAGAATTGGATCTAAGCTTTTGAACTCTAGAGGTTAAGGGTTAAGTGTTTAATCCATTAAGTTGTCTTAGATGTTCACCATGGCGCGATGAGTGGGTGGTCCAGCAACAGCAACAACAACAACAACAACAATAACAGATAAATTGCAAAAAAAAAAAAAAAATCATTATGTTTTTATTTTTATTTTTTTCAATTTTGACATTCTTTTGTTGCAACCAAAACCTATGTTTTATGATTTATTGCAATATTAACCATTTACTAGGTTAGCCGTTGCCATGATTGATGTGTATTGGGACACTGTTGTGATATATTGATATTATACTATTTGGTTGCGTGATGCGAACTAACATAATGACGTGTCAACCTCGAAAAAAGTGTCACAAAAGACATCAGGTTTTTAATTTTGGTATTATATATGTTTTCATTTTGTTTTACAATTTTGACACAAAGATCATACTTGCAATTGATTGGTTTATGAAACTTACGGCATAGTGAATTCTATGCAACTTAAAACATATGAATGTATTTTAGTTTAATCTTTTTTAGCTTAATTATTTGAAAGGTTTGACCTATTCCAATGAATTACATAAAGTCAATGGATTTATAAAGAAATTGATAAAAGATGCAGTACGTAACTTAATATGGCAATCGTCGTAACGAATTGGGATGTTGAGTCAAATGTAGCTCATTTTGACCGCTGGAAACTTCCATTGGATTCTTCCTTTTTTTTCTCCATCAATTTGTAAGAACACGTCTATATTTCCACCTAAAGTATATTTTTATTTTTAAAAAGTATTTAATCCATCATGTTGTCATGCAGTCTAACAAATATATATATATTATAATATTATAATATATATTATGTTAACGATAAATATATTTTCAACGAAAAATCACAACACATTCACACCCATATTTTTTTATCAATTAATATACACATTGTACATAAAACACACTTATTCAGAAAAATAAAACCAAATTTAATAAATTCCAAAGCACGATTTTAATATTTAAATTTATAAACAAAATATATGAACAGCTCAACATCTAATATCAACAAAATTGAAATTTATATTTAAAATTATTTTTATACATAAAAAATGTTTAGAGATAAAAACGTGTTTCTTGATCGATGCACACAAATTCACATATTGACTTATTCATATCAATTGTCCTCTCAATTCTTTTATATTTTTTAGATAATGTCATGTGAATCCAAAACCAAAACTGCGACTTTCCTTTTCGTTGTTGTTGACTCGATATTCCACATGTCCCTGCAACAATACCCTATAAATACAAATCCTAACACAACTATTTCTCAAAACACCATTAACCTTCAAAATCCTACAATATTTCAAATAATCATCTATTCTCCTCCCAAGAATTTGAAGGGATAAAAATGGCAGGTTTAAAGTTCAATTTGGTGGTTATTATGGCGCTCATGCTTGCATCTGAGCAATTTCACGGCACGACAGCTCAAACTACTCATGTGGTCGGAGATGCCTTGGGATGGAATATTCCTCCCAACGGACCTTCTGCTTACACCACGTGGGCATCAGGTCAGACCTTCAGTGTTGGCGATGTTCTTCTCTTTAACTTCACCACCGGATTCCATAACGTTGCTGAAGTGTCACAGGCGGCGTACGCCCCATGCACCACCGCCAACCCCATCTCAATCGCCACCACCGGCCCCGCTAGAGTCACCTTGAACGCACCTGGCACTCACTATTACATCTGCACCGTTGGCACTCATTGCCAAATTGGTCAAAAGTTAACCATCAATGTCTCCGCTGTGTCTACCACCCCTGCTCCAACACCAACACCCACCACTCCCGCACCGGTTTCTCCACCGACCGCTACCCCTACTCCCTCCACTACAACCCCACCACCAACATCCTCCCCTGCCCCTTCCTCCGAGGAAGGCAACCCAATATCACCACCTACCTCTGGCCAATCTCCCTCAGGGAGTAACGCCCCTTCTCCCACGGATAACACCATTATACCACCACCATCACCAAGTTTTGCTCCATCTTTCACCGCCGTGGTACCCTTCACTTTCTTGGCAATCGCTTTAGCTTTCTTTTACTAGATCAGGTGGTTAATGGTTACGTGAGAAGGTGATATTATGTAATTCATTTTTGTTTATGATTCTTTTTCCTATGCGTCGTTGTACTTATTTAATAGAGATTGATATTGCGTAACTTATCCTGTTTTTATGAAAATTCTGATATAGTTTATGGGAGTTTGAACATTTTATTATTGAATTTATAAATATGCTGTTATTATAAAAACTAGGGGTTGAGATTCGTTAAAACTCACATTCTTTCGAAAACCGAGAATTAAAGTTGGATGTTATCTTAATATTAATTTATTAAGAACATGATGGTCTTATTATTAATCTCATTTAATATTTATTTTTTTGTGTGTTTGAAATATCAAAAAAATTTCTAAAAATTAACATCATAAATCAAAATTTCGGATATAAAAAAATAATTTTTGATTTAAAAAAATATATATACAGGGTTTTTTAATTTTTTTAGAAAAAGTGATTTTTTTTTGAAAAAAATGATTTTTTATTTAAAAACTGCAATTTTTTAAAAAACAATAAAAAAAATAATAAAAAAATAAAAGTAAAAAATAAAAAAATAAAACTAGAGTATTTTAGTAAAAAACTATAAATTTTTAATAAAAAAATTCATGGTTTCTGGTGCATATATGCATACTTCATATATAATATAATGTTTGTAACTAAACATAAAAACTTATTTTTATTTACTAATCTATAAACACAATATTACAAATATTTTATTTGATACAAAATAAAATATAAAAAAAAAATGCTACAAAGATTTAAAGTGTTATTATTTCTTGTGTCAATATTTTTATATTTTCATCAATTTATCACTTTCAAATCTTAAATGTTTTTGACAAATTCTTGCATATATATATATATATATATATATATATATATATATATATATATATATATATATATATATATATATATATATATATATATATATATATATATATGAACTTACAATAATAGAGCATTGATTGGAAGTTCCTAAAAAGCATCCATTTTGGATATATTTGAACTTTTGAACTTTTTCTTTTGTATTTACTATAAACTTATCATTATCTTATAAAGATAAAACATTGCTAAAGAAATAAATAGCATGACACAAAAGGACGTACTAAAAGATAAATAAGTTATACTATTATTTCGGTGAAAAAAATTATAAAAGTTAATTAGATTTAGAATTAGTTTACCCTCTAATAATTTTTGTTAGTTGGTTAGTATAACCAAAAACTAAATGAAATACAGTCTACTATACTCTTCTTTTACTTGGAATAATTTTTGTTAGTTGGTTAGTATCACCAAAAACTAAATGAAATACAGAAAGAGAGTTTACTATACTCTTCTTTTACTTGGAAAAGTTATGCAACATTGTTATTACAAAAGTATTATGTGAAGCGGCACTTTTAACATTTTAATTCCATTAACTATATTTTTTACAAGTTACTTTGTTGTAACTATTTTTGAAAATGATGATAATTATTTTTGAAAATGATGATAAGCTCCTTTTAATTTATATTTACGTCGTTATAAAGTAGATCATTGTCAGTCAAATAAAAAAACGTGAAGTGTATGAGTATATGATCACCTTAATCACCTTAGTCAATCATCATGAAAAATATAAATACCGAAACATAATTTGAATCAAAGTCATAAAATTGAAGCCAAAAATAAAATAAAATAAAAAACTTAAATTAATCTAAACCATAAATAATCAAAGTCCACAAAATTAAAACCCATGAAACAAAACAAAACCAACAATAACAAATCAAAATTTATTTATAATAATACCAAAACAAACCCAATATAATCTTAAGAGAAATATAGTCGAATACAAGTGAATTAATATATTTGAATTATTTACTTCACTTCATGTTCCACCAATTCATTAACCCCTTTGAGAAATATTTTGTATCTCAATTTTTCTTCTGTAAAGTATCTTCAAAAAAAAAAAAAAAAAAAAAAAAACAAACAAACAGTTTTAGAATGAAATTAAAGATTTCTTAGAAGTTCATTGCTATTCATTTGTTCTTAAAGAAGCTTGGTGAAGTAAAAATCCAACTTCTACCAAATTGAAGATTTTTTGAAGTAAAATTTCAAAACTATACCATCAAGATTTCTATGTTGTAAAATTCCATTTGGTATGAAGCAACCACCATCAACATAATATCATATGTTAAAGACTTACATGTTCGGACCTAATATGCAATAGTCATTGGACATGAAATAATCATGTAGAAGGATGAGATTGCAATGTAGTCGTTCATCTATATAAAGATGTACACTAATAAGATAAGGTGCGGAAAACCAAGTAGAATCAAGGGCAAAATGATCAAGATATACACATAGCTCGAGGTAAAGGGTCTAGGAAACCTCTAATGATGTTCAATCAATTAAAATCACACTCGTTAGAATATAAGAATATACCAAGGGTAAAGCTGTCTACTCTCCCTAAAACATCCCTTCTGGACTTGCACGTGATTAAGGGCAGCATGGGTATGATTTTTTCTTCCATAACATCATATCTATATTCCAATTTCCATAATTGACATTTTAAATCAGGTTTATTCTATAAGTCATAAACATGGCATTAAGTCATCTAACACTAAAGTTGTAAAAGTTGCAATCACTTAGAACTACCTCTTTATCATCACATGTTGTCCCAAATATACATTTTTATGTTTCTCAGGTAATCAAGTGTCATCAACTTGCTCAAAAACACAAAAGATAAACAAAAGCTTGTTATACAATTGAATGTTTTGAAAAGAAAATGTGCATTATCTTAAAATGCAATAAATAAATAAATAAATAAGAGTGACTTACCTACCTACATTTCGACATTATATTAAATAGATGCGGTGCCTAAACTGCAAGTAAAAAATAAAACCAAATTACCCTTATTCAACTTGTTCAAAAACACAAAAGATAAACAAAAGCTTGTTATACAATCGAATGTTTTGAAAAGAAAATGTGCATTATCTTAAAATGCAATAAATAAATAAGAGTGCCTTACCTACCTACATTTTGCCATTATATTAAATAGATGTGGTGCCTAAACTGCATGTAAAAAATAAAACCAAATTACCCTTCTTCAATAAGTGCTTCCCATTTGTGTTCTTGAACACTCTCTTCAATTAGCCATCATGTAAGGTTGTTATGATGCTTGTTAATTAATGACTTCTTTGGAACTCTGTAATAACCAATATTTTTATTAGGAATTTATACAATAATTCAGTCATTCACACAAATGTTTTGAAAAAAATACAAATAAAACTCAGAAATCATGACGAAAAACAAAGTACACTAACCATATTCTTGGATCTAAATAGCACCAATTCTAGAAAAATTACACATTCAAAACAAAATCATTATTCTCAAACTTTACGTGATAACCATCACCACCAACATAACTAGAAGTTATCAAAAGGGAAATAATTAAAAATCATTGAAAAGAGAAGAAAACAAATCAAAAGGAAAACTAAGCAACCAAGATTGTATAACTTACTGATGTAGAAAGCTCCAAACGTTTCTTTTAAAATATTTATCATGTCATGACGTTCATCTTAAAATCTGGCATGCCTTTTCTTTTATTGCAAATCAACAGAAATCAGGGAACAGGGGAGCTCTACGAGCTATATGCTAGGGTTTTTCATGGATATTACAGCGAGAGGGATGAAGTTGTGTCTTCGACCCATACCAAGAACCCAAAATCGAAGTAAAACTTAAAAAAAAATATCTCACCTTAGGGATAAAAAACATAAATTGCATCAGGGCTCTTACCTGGTACCACCTCACAGATAGGGGAGCAATGTCATTGTTTCAACCACCACCTTCATAAACCTTTTGTTAATATGAACCATCAAACCTACATGGAATCAAAGATGCACACATCAAGCTTATAGAGAGAAAGAGAGAGAGAGAGAGAGAGAGAGAGAGAGAGAGAGAGAGCATAAAGAAATTGGTAAAAGTAAACAACTAAATATGGAATTTGAAATGGTGAATGGCATTGAGCGTAGGGATGAGTCTCTTCAATTCATTGTTTTTCCCGGAAGAAGAGGGATTTTTAGAAAAATAGGAGCGGAGAAGTTGTCCTTATGTTGAAGTTGTTACACAAGATAGGGAAGGGACCGGGTCAAAGCCATTGAAATTTAAGGTTGACAGTGAGTGATGGTTTAATTGTGTGGTGGTATGGTGTTATCGTCATGGTGGCTATTAGTGGCGGTGGCGATACGTGGTGACGATGAGACATATGGAGAGACTTTTAGGATTCAGATGGATTTTAGGGTTTTTATGAGAGATGGTGATGGTGAATGGTTGAAGGCAACACCATCTTAACTGAACTGAGAGGGGAGATGCCTTATAGATTATATCTTCTATTAAAAAATTCAATCGCCTAAATGTGAGGAAATACTAATTCAATTTTGACTGGTTCATTCATGTTTTGGAAGAGTAGATGACCCACCTAAAGCCATTGAATGTTTGACTTGTTGACCATAGATCATGTAATGATTTAAATGGTTGTACATATTGCATGATGGTCTTGTACCTCTTAAAATTCAATATTTGATGCTAAATGCTTATTAAGATATAAATAAATAAATAAATAAATAAACATATATATATATATATATATATATATATATATATTGTAAGATTCACATGTGATTATATCATGTAAGATTCACATATGGTTATATAATGTGATATTCACATGTGATTGTATCTTTTAAGATTCAAATGTAAAATATATAAGAAAATTTTAAAAAATAATTAAAGAAGAACACTCACACAAATTGCATGTGTGCATATAGGTATAATTCATATGTGATTCACTTGTGATTTACATGTGAATCATATGTAATTCATATGTGATTCACTTATGATTTACATGTGAATTAAATGTGATTCATATGTGAATTATATGTGATTTACATGTGAATCACATGAAATTCATATCTCTTCATCAAATTGCCATGATAATATTGTAACACCTTTTCTAGAGCTCACAT